GCCCCACCCCAGACCGCCCCACCCCCCGCCCCACCCCCGACCGCTCCACCCCAGACCGCCCCACCCCAGACCGCCCCACCCCAGACCGCCCCATCCCAGACTGCTCCACCCCAGACCGCCCCACCCCAGACCGCTCCACCCCAGACCCTCCACCCCAGACCGCCCCACCCCAGACCGCCCCACCCCAGACCGCTCCACCCCAGACCGCCCCACCCCAGACCGCTCCACCCCAGACCGCCCCACCCCAGACCGCTCCACCCCAGACCGCTCCACCCCCGACCGCCCCACCCCAGACCGCTCCACCCCAGACCGCTCCACCCCAGACCGCTCCACCCCAGACCGCCCCACCCCCGCCCGCCCCACCCCCGCCCGCCCCACCCCAGACCGCCCCACCCCAGACCGCCCCACCCCAGACCGCCCCACCCCAGACCGCCCCACCCCAGACCGCCCCACCCCAGACCGCCCCACCCCAGACCGCCCCACCCCAGACCGCCCCACCCCAGACCGCCCCACCCCAGACCGCCCCACCCCAGACCGCCCCACCCCAGACCGCCCCACCCCAGACCGCCCCACCCCAGACCGCTCCACCCCCCAGACCGCTCCACCCCCCGCCCCACCCCCAGACCGCTCCACCCCACCCCAGACCGCCCCACCCCAGACCGCTCCACCCCAGACCGCCCCACCCCAGACCGCTCCACCCCAGACCGCTCCACCCCAGACCGCTCCACCCCAGACCGCTCCACCCAGACCCCACCCCAGACCGACCGCGCCCTACCCCAGACCGCCCCACCCCAGACCGCTCCACCCCAGACCGCTCCACCCCAGACCGCTCCACCCCAGACCGCCCCACCCCCGCCCCACCCCAGACCGCCCCACCCCCGCCCGCCCCACCCCAGACCGCTCCAGCCCATCCCACCGCTCCACCCCAGACCGCCCCACCCCAGACCGCTCCACCCCAGACCGCCCCACCCCAGACCGCTCCACCCCAGACCGCCCCACCCCAGACCGCTCCACCCCAGACCGCTCCACCCACCCCAGACCGCCCCACCCCAGACCGCTCCACCCCAGACCGCTCCACCCCAGACCGCTCCACCCCAGACCGCCCCACCCCAGACCGCTCCACCCCCCCAGACCGCCCCACCCCCGCCCGCCCCCCCACCGCTCCACCGCCCATCCCACCCCCGCCCGCTCCACCCCAGACCGCCCCGCCCAGACCGCTCCACCGCCCCACCCCAGACCGCTCCACCCCCGCCCGCCACCCCAGACCGCTCCACCCCAGACCGCTCCACCCCAGACCGCCCCACCCCAGACCGCTCCACCCCAGACCGCTCCACCCCAGACCGCCCCACCCCAGCCCGCCCCACCCCAGACCGCCCCACCCCCGCCCCACCCCAGACCGCCCTACTCCCGCCCGCCCAACCCCAGACCGCCCTACTCCCGCCCCCCACCCCACCGCCCTACCGCCCCAACCCCAGACCGCCCCAGCCCGCCCAACCCCAGACCGCTCCACCCCAGACCCCCGCCCGCCCAACCCCAGACCGCCCCACCGCCCCACCCCAGACCGCTCCCGCCCGCCCCACCCACCCCACCCTGCCCGCTTCACCGACCTCCCCACCCCAGACCGCTCCACCCCAGACCTCCACCCCAGACCGCTCCACCCCAGAGACTGCCCCACCCCAGACCGCCCCACCCCACCCCAGACCGCTCCACCCCAGACCGCTCCACCCCAGACCTCCCCACCCCCACACCCCAGACCGCCCCACCCCACCCCAGACCGCCCCACCCCAGACCGCCCCACCCCAGACCGCTCCACCCCAGACCGCTCCACCCCAGACCGCCCCACCCCAGACCGCCCCACCCCAGACCGCCCCACCCCAGACCGCCCCACCCCAGACAGCCCCCACCCCCAGACCGCCCCACCCCAGACCGACCGCCCCACCCCAGACCGCTCCACCCCAGACCGCCCCACCCCAGACCGCCCCACCCCAGACCGCCCCACCCCAGACCGCCCCACCCCAGACCGCCCCACCCCAGACCGCCCCACCCCAGACCGCCCCACCCCCAGACCGCTCCACCCCCAGACCGCCCCACCCCAGACCGCCCCACCCCAGACCGCCCCACCCCAGACCGCTCCACCCCAGACCGCTCCACCCCAGACCGCTCCACCCCAGACCGCCCCACCCCAGACCGCCCCACCCCAGACCGCCCCACCCCCCAGACCGCCCCACCCCCAGACCGCCCCACCCCAGACCGCCCCACCCCAGACCGCCCCACCCCAGACCGCTCCACCCCAGACCGCTCCACCCCAGACCGCCCCACCCCAGACCGCTCCACCCCAGACCGCCCCACCCCAGACCGCCCCACCCAGACCGCCCCACCCCAGACCGCCCCAACCCAGACCGCCCCACCCCCCCGCCCGCTCGCCCCACCCCCGCCCGCTCCAGCCCCGCCCCCCCCCCCAGGTCAGAGGTGAGAGGGGGTCACCGCTCCCCAGGGTACAATATGATAGGCTAACTGTTCCCTGATGTGTGAGGTCCCCCGGCCACTCTCAGGCGGGGCTTGGGGTCACCTTCCCTGCTACTAAACATACCAGCTGTGGCATACAAGAGGTCACGTTTACCGGCCGGTTAGACCACACCAGTATAATCATACTCAATATGGGAAATACAAGTTGGGAAGGCAATGCTAGTGTTATATACCCTTAGTAGTATATATATACCGGGAAGTATATATAGATATATATAGATATGTAAAACAAAGCAATTCCCCGCAGATCATAGATGCGTGTACACATTAACTGTTGGGGGGGGGGGCTACATGGGGGGGGGGGGAGGTTCACCCCAAACTATAAAAACTTTGCCGAGAATCTAATATATTACACTAACCATATTAAACACTTATAATTAAATACATAGAATGAATACAGAATAAATAGATAGACTAAACACATTGTGTGAGGGACATTGTAACTCCCATACAACCTGCCAGACACAACAATTGACAAGGTCACTAACACATCACTGGGGTACCCCCAGTGTTATTCTGGCGTAAGGGTTCTTGTTAATAAGAACATAAGAACAAAGGTAACAAATTTGCTATCTTTTTATTCCAGCAAAGTTGAGGCAGTTGATAGTGATAAGGATTGCGATGTTGTGTACCTTGACTTTTTAGCAAAGCTTTTGATACAGTGCCACATGAAAGACTGATTGAAAAGATAGAGGCTCATGGTATTGGGGGTGCTATATTAAGCTGGATTAGGGCATGGCTATACCAAAGGAAACAGAGAGTTAGTGTAAATGGGGTTAAATCAGAGTGGGATAATGTTGTTAGTGGAGTGCCTCAAGGCTCTGTCCTGGGGACCTCTGTTGTTTATAATATATATAAATGATTTAGATTCAGGTTTGAGTAGCAACATTTGCAAATTTGCAGATGATATAAAAATCGGCAGGGTAATTAACACGGAAGAAGACTCACTATCACTTCAAGTTGATCTAGATAGGGGTTTGAAATGGTCAAAGGATTGGCAGATGCAGTTTAATGCTGATAAATGTAAAGTTCTGAGGCTAGGTAATGATGATAGAGTTACAGGATACGAGCTAGATGGTGTTGAGACTGTGAAGTCGGATTGCGAAAGGGATCTGGGAGTTATGATTAGTAAGAATTTAAAACAAAAGGATCAATGCATGAATGGTCGTAATAAGGCAAATAGGACACTGGGAGTTATTAATCTTTTCAATCAGTCTTTCATGTGGCACTATATCAAAAGCTTTGCTAAAGTCAAGGTACACAACATCACAAACCTTACCACTATCAACTGCCTCAACTATGCTGGAATAAAATGATAACAAATTTGTTAAACATGAACTGCCATTTGTAAAACCATGTTGCGACTCATTTATTAATTTAAGTTTTTCAAGATGAAGACCAATTGTATTTGCAATTATTGATTCAAGTAACTTTCCCACAATAGACGTTAGGCAAATTGGCCGATAGTTTGACGCAAGTGATCTATCTCCTTTCTTAAAAATTGGTACCACATTAGCATAACATAATTAGAAGGCGTCTCAGTCACTGGTATATATATCTAACTTGCCATTTGTTTCGGGCATAATAAACCATAAATTTACAGCTGATTTTACAGAACAAAGACACAGCTGATTTTGTTAAGAATTGGATAAAGGTGATTTTGTTAAACATAGGAAAAAAGTTATTTTATTCTATGCTTAATAATTGGTACAGCTCACAAACACTGCAGGTGGCTAGATACAGCTCACAAACACTGCAGGTGGCTAGATACAGCTCACAAACACTGCAGGTGGTTAGATACAGCTCACAAACACTGCAGGTGGTTAGATACAGCTCACAAACACTGCAGGTGGCTAGATACAGCTCACAAACACTGCAGGTGGCTAGATACAGCTCACAAACACTGCAGGTGGCTAGATACAGCTCACAAACACTGCAGGTGGTTAGATACAGCTCACAAACACTGCAGGTGGCTAGATACAGCTCACAAACACTGCAGGTGGTTAGATACAGCTCACAAACACTGCAGGTGGCTAGATACAGCTCACAAACACTGCAGGTGGCTAGATACAGCTCACAAACACTGCAGGTGGCTAGATACAGCTCACCAATACTGCAGGTGGCTAGATACAGCTCACAAACACTGCAGGTGGCTAGATACAGCTCACAAACACTGCAGGTGGTTAGATACAGCTCACAAACACTGCAGGTGGTTAGATACAGCTCACAGACACTGCAGGTGGCTAGATACAGCTCACAAACACTGCAGGTGGCTAGATACAGCTCACAAACACTGCAGGTGGCTAGATACAGCTCACAAACACTGCAGGTGGCTAGATACAGCTCACAAACACTGCAGGTGGCTAAATACAGTTTGATAACAGAGGAGGACGTAGAGGGTCAGCCAGCTACAGGTGTATACACCCGCACCTGCTCTCCCACACACCTGTGTTGGGGCAGCTGTGCCCACTCACCTGTAGTAAACCGTAGGGGGGCGCGATAAACCTCGGGGTCGCGTTGTAGAGAACACTATAATATCACACTTGTGTCAAAGTAAGAACACGAGCACCATGCTACACTCCACCACTCACTAAGGCCAACGAAACACTGACCTCCCGCACCTGGCAGCACCACAGTCACGCTCCCGCGCTGCCACAGCCCGTCGGGAAAACATATCGTCCTGCACATCTCTGGCTTGCCAGGAGGATGTTTGGAGACATTCTTCATAATATATTAAATTTACAGCGCCCTTTATCGCTTTTGATAAAAGGCTTCACATTATACTGTCAGTATGAGGGGCTTCACATTATACTGTCAGTATGAGGGGCTTCACATTATACTGTCAGTATGAGGGGCTTCACATTATACTGTCAGTATGAGGGGCTTCACATTATACTGTCAGTATGAGGGGCTTCACATTATACTGTCAGTATGAGGGGCTTCACATTATACTGTCAATATGAGGGGCTTCACATTATACTGTCAGTATGAGGGGCTTCACATTATACTGTCAGTATGAGGGGCTTCACATTATACTGTCAGTATGAGGGGCTTCACATTATACTGTCAGTATGAGGGGCTTCACATTATACTGTCAGTATGAGGGGCTTCACATTATACTGTCAGTATGAGGGGCTTCACATTATACTGTCAGTATGAGGGGCTTCACATTATACTGTCAGTATGAGAGGCTTCACATTATACTGTCAGTATGAGAGGCGTCACATTATACTGTCAGTATGAGGGGCTTCACATTAAACTGTCAGTATGAGGGGCTTCACACTAAACTGTCAGTATGAGGGGCTTCACATTATACTGTCAGTATGAGGGGCTTCACATTATACTGTCAGTATGAGGGGCTTCACATTATACTGTCAGTATGAAGGGCTTCACATTATACTGTTAGTATGAGGGGCTTCACATTATACTGTCAGTATGAGGGGCTTCACATTATACTGTCAGTATGAGGGGCTTCACATTATACTGTCAGTATGAGGGGCTTCACATTATACTGTCAGTATGAGGGGCTTCACATTATACTGTCAGTATGAGGGGCTTCACATTATACTGTCACTATGAGGGACTTCACATTATACTATTAGTATGAAGGGCTTCAGATTATACTGTCAGTATGAAGGGCTTCACATTATACTGTCAGTATGAGGGGCTTCACATTATACTGTCAGTATGAGGGGCTTCACATTATACTGTCAGTATGAAGCCCTTCACATTATACTGTCAGAATGAGGGGCTTCACATTATACTGTCAGTATGAGGAACTTCACATTATACTGTCAGTATCAGGGGCTTCACATTATACTGTCAGTATGAGGGACTTCACATTATACTATTAGTATGAAGGGCTTCACATTATACTGTCAGTATGAAGGGCTTCACATTATACTGTCAGTATGAGGGGCTTCACATTATACTGTCAGTATGAGGGGCTTCACATTATACTGTCAGTATGAAGGGCTTCACATTATACTGTCAGTATGAGGGGCTTCACATTATACTGTCAGTATGAGGGGCTTCACATTATACTGTCAGTATGAGGGGCTTCACATTATACTGTCAGTATGAGAGGCTTCACATTATACTGTCAGTATGAGGGGCTTCACATTATACTGTCAGTATGAGAGGCTTCACATTATACTGTCAGTATGAGGGGCTTCACATTATACTGTCAGTATGAGGGGCTTCACACTAAACTGTCAGTATGAGAGGCTTCACACTAAACTGTCAGTATGAGAGGCTTCACATTATACTGTCAGTATGAGGGGCTTCACATTATACTGTCAGTATGAGGGGCTTCACATTATACTGTCAGTATGAGGGGCTTCACACTAAACTGTCAGTATGATGGTCTTCATATTAAACTGTCAGTATGAGGAGCGTCACACTAACATTCAGTTTGAGGGGCGTCACACTAACCGTCAGTATGAGGAGCGTCACACTAAGCTTCAGTATGAGGAGCATCACACTAACCGTCAGTATGAGGAGCGTCACACTAAGCTTCAGTATGAGGAGCGTCACATTAACCGTCAGTATGAGGAGTGTCACACTAAGCTTCAGTATGAGGAGCGTCACATTAACCGTCAGTATGAGGAGTGTCACACTAACCATCAGTATGAGGAGCGTCACACTAACCGTTAGTATGAGGAGCGTCACACTAACCATCAGTATGAGGAGCGTCACACTAACCGTTAGTATGAGGAGCGTCACACTAACCATCAGTATGAGGAGCGTCACACTAACCATCAGTATGAGGAGCGTCACACTAACCGTTAGTATGAGGAGCGTCACACTAACCATCAGTATGAGGAGCGTCACACTAACCATCAGTATGAGGAGCGTCACACTAACCGTCAGTATGAGGAGCGTCACACTAACCGTGAGTATGAGGAGCGTCACACTAACAGTATGAGGAGCGTCACACTAACAGTATGAGGAGCGTCACACTAACAGTCAGTATGAGGAGCGTCACACTAACAGTATGAGGAGCGTCACACTAACCGTCAGTATGAGGAGCGTCACACTAACCGTGAGTATGAGGAGCGCCACACTAACAGTATGAGGAGCGTCACACTAACAGTCAGTATGAGGAGCGTCACACCAACAGTATGAGGAGCGTCACACTAACCGTCAGTATGAGGAGCGTCACACTAACCGTCAGTATGAGGAGCGTCACACTAACAGTATGAGGAGCGTCACACTAACCGTCAGTATGAGGAGCGTCACACTAACCGTCAGTATGAGGAGCGTCACACTAACCGTCAGTATGAGGAGCGTCACACTAACCGTCAGTATGAGGAGCGTCACACTAACCGTGAGTATGAGGAGCGTCACACTAACAGTCAGTATGAGGAGCGTCACACTAACCGTCAGTATGAGGAGCGTCACACTAACAGTATGAGGAGCGTCACACTGTCAGTATGAGGAGCGTCACACTAACAGTCAGTATGAGGAGCGTCACATTAACAGTCAGTATGAGGAGCGTCACACTAACAGTCAGTATGAGGAGCGTCACACTAACCGTCAGTATGAGGAGCGTCACACTATCAGCATGAGGAGCGTCACACTAACAGTCAGTATGAGGAGCGTCACACTAACAGTAAGTATGAGGAGCGTCACACTAACCGTCAGTATGAGGAGCGTCACACTAACCGTCAGTATGAGGAGCGTCACACTAACCGTGAGTATGAGGAGCGTCACACTAACAGTATGAGAAGCGTCACACTAACAGTCAGTATGAGGAGCGTCACACTAACAGTATGAGGAGCGTCACACTAACAGTATGAGGAGCGTCACACTAACCGTCAGTATGAGGAGCGTCACACTAACAGTATGAGGAGCGTCACACTAACCGTCAGTATGAGGAGCGTCACACTAACCGTGAGTATGAGGAGCGCCACACTAACAGTATGAGGAGTGTCACACTAACAGTATGAGGAGTCAGTATGAGGAGCGTCACACCAAGTCAGTATGAGGAGCGTCACACTAACCGTCAGTATGAGGAGCGTCACACTAACCGTCAGTATGAGGAGCGTCACACTAACAGTATGAGGAGCGTCACACTAACCGTCAGTATGAGGAGCGTCACACTAACACTCAGTATGAGGAGCGTCACACTAACCGTCAGTATGAGGAGCGCCACACTAACAGTATGAGGAACGTCACACTAACCGTCAGTATGAGGAGCGTCACACTAACCGTCAGTATGAGGAGCGTCACAATAACCGTCAGTATGAGGAGCGTCACACTAACCGTCAGTATGAGGAGCGTCACACTAACCGTGAGTATGAGGAGCGTCACACTAACAGTCAGTATGAGGAGCGTCACACTAACCGTCAGTATGAGGAGCGTCACACTAACAGTATGAGGAGCGTCACACTGTCAGTATGAGGAGCGTCACACTAACAGTCAGTATGAGGAGCGTCACATAAACAGTCAGTATGAGGAGCGTCACACTAACAGTCAGTATGAGGAGCGTCACACTAACCGTCAGTATGAGGAGCGTCACACTATCAGTATGAGGAGCGTCACACTAACAGTCAGTATGAGGAGTGTCACACTAACAGTAAGTATGATGAGCGTCACACTAACAGTCAGTATGAGGAGCGTCACACTAACAGTAAGTATGAGGAGCGTCACACTAACAGTCAGTATGAGGAGCGTCACACTAACAGTAAGTATGAGGAGCGTCACACTAACCGTCAGTATGAGGAGCGTCACATTAACAGTCAGTATGAGGAGCGTCACACTAACAGTCAGTATGAGGAGCGTCACACTAACCGTCAGTATGAGGAGCGTCACACCGTCAGTATGAGGAGCGTCACACTAACAGTCAATATGAGGAGCGTCACACTAACCGTCAGTATGAGGAGCGTCACACTAACCGTCAGTATGAGGAGCGTCACACTAACAGTCAGTATGAGGAGCGTCACACTAACAGTCAGTATGAGGAGCGTCACACTAACAGTCAGTATGAGGAGCGTCACACTAACAGTCAGTATGAGGAGCGTCACACTATCCGTCAGTATGAGGAGCGTCACACTATCCGTCAGTATGAGGAGCGTCACACTAACAGTCAGTATGAGGAGCGTCACACTAACAGTCAGTATGAGGAGCGTCACACTAACCGTCAGTATGAGGAGCGTCACACTATCAGTATGAGGAGCGTCACACTAACAGTCAGTATGAGGAGCGTCACACTAACAGTAAGTATGAGGAGCGTCACACTAACAGTCAGTATGAGGAGCGTCACACTAACAGTAAGTATGAGGAGCGTCACACTAACAGTCAGTATGAGGAGCGTCACACTAACAGTAAGTATGAGGAGCGTCACACTAACCGTCAGTATGAGGAGCGTCACATTAACAGTCAGTATGAGGAGCGTCACACTAACAGTCAGTATGAGGAGCGTCACACTAACCGTCAGTATGAGGAGCGTCACACTAACAGTCAGTATGAGGAGCGTCACACTAACAGTCAGTATGAGGAGCGTCACACTAACCGTCAGTATGAGGAGCGTCACACTAACCGTTAGTATGAGGAGCGTCACACCGTCAGTATGAGGAGCGTCACACTAA